GAATTACAAATTACTTCTATAAGTACAAATACTTTTTCCAATTACAATTACTTTTTCTAATAGATCATGCGTATTGCGTAATTGCGTACAGACTTGCAGACTTCTATTATTTCATTTGAGGAAAGCCTTGTGCCGCGTGAACAATAAAAAGTGATTTGGTGAATTAACCTCAGAATTAACAGAGTACATTTTATTTTATTATAATTATTATTAATTTAGAAAATATACGAAGTAAAAATATGTTGTCTATAGCATTAAGTTTTATAAAAATATATATTATGTATCTATGTGTTACTGCTCTTATTTTGAGTTGAGAAAACTTCTGGTTCGGTTACTCAGCGTTTCACTCGTACTTGTTCGATTCGTAATTTTTTTAATAATAATTATCATTATCAATTATTAGGAATGTTAATATTGATTTAAAGAAATAGAGATCTAATATAGGGCTATCATTGGAAATGCAATAGCACTTTTATCAGTGTAATACCTATCAAACTATCTACAGATAAGATAGTGGTGAATATTATTATTTAATATAATTTTTATGATATCGAGACAAATAAATAAACAATAAACTGATATAATGCGTAGAATCCATCAAGTCCTGACCGAATAGAAAGAAATTCTAACTTTTTGGTATCTTAATTAACTAATAAACTTAATAATTATTATTAATGGCTCGATTTATATGATTTGATAAATTAACTTCCATGCACTTGCTGAGTAAAGAGAAATACGATATGAACCAATAGTTTCGTAAGTTCCGTCGCATCTATGCAGACTTGTTTGAAGGCGGTATTGTTTTAAAAGTAGGTAATTGAAAATACCTTGTATTAATTTAGTAGTTGTTCAATTTCCAAAAGCCATCAGCATGGACCAAGTTATTTTAAATATAAAACTATTTAGTTCAATATTTTTCTTGTAAAATTAACAATGTGCAAGTTTTCAGAGGGTTTAAATCGTTCGGAAAATTTTCATTTGAAATTTGAATCAAAGGAGCCAACGACGTTTCCTTAAATTTTCATGGAAAACTAGCCGCAGTGTACAGGGTGTTAGGGAAATAATTTACGTAAATTTGATTGGATACGTGTTGCAATTTTATAGTCAAAATACGTTTTTTCAAGACTAAATTATAATTAAAGTAGCTTAAAGGTTGAACAAATAAGTTTAATAGGATTTAGGTCTTTGGGAAGATAGGAATGTGATATGCTTGCACAGTTTTAATATCCATCTACTTGTATTAATATAAAAATCAGATATAAATTCTTAATAACAACTTGTTATCGACAATCTATATTTCATTAAAATCTTATTTAGAATGTTGGGTACCAAATTGATTATAGCCACGGGATGTAAGTGTATAATTAGCGACTGAAATTTAAATAAACCATTTTTTCTGATATGATTCGCTTACCGATTAGCAGGCGCGTGTTGCGTATATATTTAATTATATGATTCCAACGTGCATATTTGAATTTCCGTATTTTAATGTATATTTTACAGACATGGCAACGCCGGTGAATTTTTGACAATGCTGTCAATAAAGGCTGAGACTAGCGCAAGAACTATAACTTTTTTTCCGGCGCCTATGGTGTCTCGTGTTCTAAAAAATAAAATTAATATTATCACAAACATTAAATAAAAATAAAACTATATAAAGTGGTATCTAAGTATGTTATCATCAGTGTCTAACATAAAAATTGTATTAAGTGTCAAATATCTGACCTTCGTAATGAATGTATTTATAGAATATTTTACGAAAAATAATTAGCAAATAACGATAAACTCGGTTAAATAACATACATATTTTTATTATAGTTTATAATATAAATTTTTTACAATAAAATAGCATGACTATATTAAAATTGTTACAAAGAATTTCACAAGAAAATGTCGCATAATTTTCATTCGTTTGAAATTTTGATAATAGCAGTGGCGTTTGATATTGCCGATCGCAGAAGTTTATTGTCTTTAGCTTCTATTCTATTTTGCATTTCATACTTTCTATAATCGTTGATAAGTAGAACGTTTACATTAAATCTTGCAATACATACAAGTTTCAGGTAAATAAAAAAAATATCAGTAATAGCTATAAATTTGAAAAAAAATTGCTAGAATCAATTTTAATAAAACATTTAGGTTAGTTTCTTTTGAAATTCCATATTGAGTTATATTTTCGATTTCTTTTTATAGGTAATAGTAAAAGTCTCTAAAACCGTCTATGAAAGAAATTTGATTATTTTTAGAACATCTAAAATATACCCGTTACAATAATACATCTAATATTTGGCTAAACTAACGGATGTCTTTGGGGAAATGCTTAAAATACAAAAATACGATTTATTTACTTACTGCAGCAATAAAATGTAATTTACATTATTTATTGTGAAAAATAAAACATATACAGATAATTGACATACATACTATAAAATGTGCTTTTCTGGCGGAAATTCAGAAGTTTATAAAACATTCGAAGACGAATGTAATTTTTACTCCAAAACGTACATTTGGCAACGTCGCACGACATCAAAAGATGTATCAAATGCGCTATGTCTATTTAAAACTATTTTAATAGTTAAAACCAACTAAATAGCATTTTGCCTCAAAAAGATTCATTCGGGATTGTTTCTTCAGAAACTTATCTTTGCCTAACTGGAAAAATCTCATATTTGATATCAATCATTCTAATTAAAAGTGATACGGTAAAACTAAAAATTAATGTTTTTAAAATGAAAACTGATAAAGATTTCGAAACGTTAACTACTTTTCAGTGTAAGATATTTGATAGGTGCTTAAGATGAATTTTATCTACAACTTTTTTTGTTTCTTCAATAAAAACTAAAATATATTAACGTGTCACTAATATTCTTATTTTAACAAATATTCACCTGAATAAAATTTATATAAAATATTTAGGTTAGGTTAACTTACTGAATCTTTCTATTTTCCGCGTTTTTAAAAGATCAAGGCTCAGTTATATTTTTGAATCCTATTTTATATGGTACAGGATCAGTTTCAATTTATACTTCAAGAGATACACTACACAAAAAAATTTACTAAACGTACATACATAAATAACACACATTTGGCAACGCCGCATCCGAATGTATCATTTTGGAAAAAACATAAAATGCGTTTGAAGTATAATCAGCTGAACAACATATTTTAATTATTTATGTCGTCAAACAATTTTATTATTTTATTATATTGATGGTAAATTTCGTTTTGTTCCGTTTCAGAAGGTCTCCAAAGTGCCTTGCTGCAATAATATTATTTCTCCCTTTCGCAATTGTAATATCAATGATTAATGGAAGGTGCCTATAATGAATTAAAATTACCTGAATCACATCAAATTCCGCATTGTACACTACACTGCTAGGCAATTTGTCAACCACTTGTCAACAACTGATATTTATTGCCCAGTCCCGCGCATTTTTCAACTGGGCGTATACATTTCTACTACTTCTATGTTTAGTTCGACCAGACCTGTATATGGGTATGGCTAAATAAATATTGGAACAAGTTTTTCAAATATTTCAATGCCGAGTTGCTGCGTCAGCGACCAAACCTGGTACATACTGCCAACCTCTTGGTTCTTCAGTTGATATCCGAAAGACTATACCTAGGTAGTTTTAAAAATGATTGAAAACCTAACAATGTTTTCTGTTTAAATATTTCAAATTGCATTTTTCCGAAATTGGATCTAAAGACTTTAAAACAAGAAGAGGCATTTAAGCAGAAAAGCATATTCGTCAAATAGTCTTTATCGATAAAAACATTATTATCTGAATATTATCTATTTGTCTTTATCTTTAAATCCATTGTGATGAACTACAGATAAAATAAACTAGCGCACACGTGAAGTTGTCACTGGGTGCGTCAAAACAGCGATTCTAAGCGTATGCACTCGATAACTTCTAATGCAGTTGATTATCTTACACCGTTCAAAAGTGTTTAAGTCCGTTAGAAAAATCGACGTTAGTGCTAGTGTTAGTGACAATTACGTCGTAATAGCTGGGGGAGAGAGGATTTATAAATTTTGTTTGATGAAGCAAGTCTATCAACCTGGTAAAATTTCAACCTTTTTTTTAACCTGTTCAATCAACGCTTGGTGCTACAAAAAAAGAATTATTTCTCTACAGTTTCCAAGTTTTTTCCCAAACCGGTTTAATCATCTTATGATCTCAAAAAACAAGGTTCCTTCTTCATAGTTTCGGATAGGTGATAGGTCTGAGCATTTTAATAAGTACGGTTAAATAATTGAGGCCCATTATGTCACTTTAAAGACCCAAAGGTACTACCCTAACTCCTAATGATTATTCCCGGATCCGACAACCGCCGGGTGCAGCATTTGTATTGTGCCGTTCAACATCTTCATTTTTTTTTCGTGTATATTAACACCTCATGATATAAATCATAATTTTATTCCAGTTCGCACCCAGCGAAATGGTTTTATAATAGCCTCCAGTTGTTTGAATTAACGTGTACGGTTTTTTTAGCGAAACGTAAAGCATCTCTGTTTGTTTAGGTATTTACTACGTTGGTATTAGATAACAGTGTTTGAATTTGTTTTTCAACAAAGTTAGAATTGAAATAACAGGTTACCATTTTATTATAGAAATTTTGCTCTGTGCTCTGCGGTTCAATTTTTTTACATGTCTAACAAGTTTAACATACCCTTATTTCATATATAACTAAAATTACAATTCACCTTATTTTCCCTCAAGTTAAACATTAAACGTTAACAACATTAAAAAATTGCTAGGTGAAAGTTTATAACATATAATTGCAATATTTAAAACTTGCGGTTTTACGTATCTTTTGATTTAATATCATGAACATTACCGCGAAAATCTTCCATTTTATTGCATTAAGCACATAACTATATAATTGTGCATAAAACTAAATCCCATTCGGTATCTCTCGGTGGACCATTAGTTTTCTCTGTATATTATTAAAAACACTAAAATCATTTCATATAATGCTTACTTTTTTTTTAGGATATGGATTTAATCGAGGTGTTGTGGAAACAAGATGTGGATCTTGGATTTTCCGTGGAAAATGCCACACCAAAATTGGAAAAACTTGATCCAGAAAGCTCAGCTGTCGACGCCACCACATCCGGCGATTTGGAAAATGACGATTTGGAAAAAGTCAAAACGCTAAAAGCTATAAACGAAGATAAAATTAAAGTACGTATTCTGTTGTATATTGTCTGAAATGTACTTAATTATGCGTGATTGTAGGTAGAACCTGAAAACGATATTGACAGTGATCCATGGGCAGGTCTGAACTATACCATCGACACAGAAACAGGTCTGTAACTAGTTGCTTTTTTATTTCTAATGATAATATTGAAATTGTTTTAACTCTTAATTATTTAATATTTCAAATTGTTTTATTACTGCTGCACTTTAAGCTTTCTTTTCCTGGCGCTTCATTTTTTTAAGTTTTGTTATTATTAGAAAATGCTAATATCAGCTGAAACAGTTGTGCCAATTTCCATGTATGAATTTGTAACAAATCCTAGCGCATTGTATAAATACTTTCACATGAGTGAAAATAACGAGTATGTAAATTTTAGAAAATATACAATAGAGTCGTTTTCATAAATGAAACCTATGTAGAATGTTATATAAACATAAAGTCGAAGCAAATAAATGACATAATTAGTTCTTTATTGGTCGAGATTTCTAAAAAATAAAATTAAAGTGCTGGGATGGTAACGTCTTTTTTGGAATCTTCGAAATTATGATCCTTCATTAGATGTAAATAAAAGTAATGAAATAAAACAAACAAAACGAATTTAGTTATACATGTAAACTATTTAAAGTAATCTATATATCGCAGGTATTTGTAATTTTATTACCACACATTAACGAAATAAGAGAATTTGTTAGAAGATTAGTTTTCTAGGAGTAACACAATAAAATATGGCTTGCTATCTTGAATTTTCGCGAGGTATAGTCTTTCCGAAGTCAGTTGAACATGTAAAAAACGCCTGGCAATAAAATTTATGACTTTCATAGGTGTCCCTAAAAAAGTTTTCTGCTAAAGGTAAAAAATTATAATAATTTGTGTGTGTGTGTAAAAAATTTCTATTATTTCTAAATTATATCGGAAAGACTATATCAACAATGTAATTTTGCTCAAAAATTCGGGGCAATCGATCATGCCATCCAGGAGGTTGTATAAATATCGAGCCTGTAATATATTGCATGTGGTATCCAATGATTCAAAATCAAATAGATTTAGTTGTTCATTTTGAGATAAGGGAAGATCTATCTTGCAGAGAAGATAAAAATTTTAAAAATTGTCTTTCAACCGATTCCTTAACAAGCGCACAAAACAGAGTTTTGAAAAGTTCCTGCAACTGCGTATAAACCATATGAGTTAAAAACTTGAATCTAAAAGAGAATTTATTTAGAATACAAATACCGAACATTACTTCAGAAAGATGGTTAATAAAACGTAAAGACAACAACGGACCCAAACTGGTACCTTATGGAACGCCCGATGTCGGAGAAAACGATCTCGAAATGGAATTTTAATATTTAATCATAAATCCTTTAAGTAGGAAATGCATAGTTTAATTAATGCATTTGAAAAGCTAAAACTTTTTAATTTCAAAGAGAGTATGTTATGGTTTTTGGAAGTCTGGATAAGTAAAACCACAGATACGTACGTCATACTACTGAAAAACAGCTAAATTCGATACTGTTTACTTTATTTTCATAAAGCCATGTTGATCTGTTAAAATAAGCTCTCGTGAAAGAATAAACTTTACTAGATAGTAATGTTTCAAACATTTTAGAAACATTTTACAATGAAGAAAGGCCTCTGTAATTAAATACTTCTTTGTGATTTCTCTTTTTCGGTGTAGGACAATGCTTGTCTTTTTCCAGCAAGATGGTAAGGTAAAATGTCATAAGCTCGATTAAATAAAAAGCACAAAAACATGATTATAATGCAAATTACTTTTATAGATAGTTTTCTTAAATACAGAGTGTTTGGGTTTTGTTTTTATCCCAACACTACGCAGTTTTTCAAAAACTTCACATTTTTGCAAAACGTCAACCAGCTGAAAGACCAAAAGCACCATTAAATTAAGGAATTTGTTACTTTATCGTAAGAAGTGGTGGTGTGAGTTCTAAATCAAATACAATATATAGTTTCTATTTAAAACGAGCCATGTTACAGTAATATTGGATTAATTGATATAGAATTAAACTACGGGGATAGTCGCCAAAATGCTGCCATAGCATTGCGATTCTATACTAACCGTTTTACTTTGCGATTTCATCCCGCAACTCGTAGGTTTGTTGTATGTTGTTCAAAGGGCTAGAAAAATATAATTACTTTACGGCAAAACAACTTTACTGTTAACACATGCAGCAATTTGTTCTACTAACGTGTCGGATAACTCACAACTCAATAAATAAATCATTTCCCAAACGTGCTATAGAAAACACCCTGTAGAATTTATGGAAACGACTCTATTGTTTTTCTCGTTATAAAATTTTAATTTCCTCAAAACGGCCAATACAATTTATCAGGGATGCAACAAACTAGATATATTTTGACTGTTTTTTTTTAATTTTGCAACAGGTAAGTATATATTTTGCTTAAGAGGGAGCGGTATATTATTATTCCGTATATTAATTTAATTGCTCGTCGTCTTATTTGATAGAAAAAACATACAAGCCTGCGTGCCGTACTACATTCGACTACATCCGTAAATAATGAAAATTAACCAGTAACAAAGATTCAATCAATGCGCAAATGTGCAATGAAGAGGAAAGTAACAGTTTAACAGAGATGATTGTTCTTGCGATTAAAAGAATATAATATTCCTTCACTTAAGCTGTATCAATCTTTTTGTTAGAACTATTCTAAAGCTGAGAATGATAGGTGTTCACCATGCTTTGTGACATAATGTACCTTACAATCAGAACAAGATCAGTATCCTGTCACTCTAAAATCATTTTGATCTCTAATCTCAACTTTGCAATAAAAACCGCAGAAAAAATAGTTTTTATATAAGTAATGTTCAGTATACTAATAATAGTCTTATTTTAGTGAATAGATTTTTTTTTAACGAGTCAAGACACTTTAAGTATTGTAGTAAGCCAACTATTATATTTAAGAAATTGTAACCACCTTTCTAATGTTTGAATATTTCATTTGGAATTGATGGATAGCCTCATTCCTACAGAACAGATTAATAATATAACAATGGAAGTTAGATTCTATCCCTTAGTCTACAATATTTCAACAGTAGCTTATATTTTGTGAGTAATGATCTACTGTGAGCTCAGCAAAAGTGTTCATATTGATTACTCGTTATTTATTGTAATAGTGCAATTTTCACCTTAAGTCACATTATTCCTAACACTTAACACTTTTTACAGTTGCACCAAAGGTAGGTAAATTACGTCCTTATTGGGTCCAGAATTATATAAATTTTCTAATTAAACAAAATTATAACTCGTGCAGATAGTTTCCTCTATTTTGCATTAGCAAAAATAGTAGTTGAAGTAAAACAAAGCATTTTGTGTAATTATATTTAAATATAAACAAATAAACAAATGGGTAAACAATACTATAAAGTTGCTTCGAACACTAAACACATAAGATTATTAAAATCAATTTGTTTGCACTATTAACTACTTATCTAAACAGCTGAAAAATGCGGATCGTTTACTACTAAATAAACATTCACGTGTTTTGTTTGTAAAATATTCACCACCTGTTTCTTTTAAAGCACAAATATTACAGTGTTTTAATAACAAAATCCGTCTGTTGGCTTCGCCGTAAATATTGGTACACTTTTAAATTTGCTGCAAGTTGTCATGACTATCTAGTCTTGAGTGTTTCCTATTGCTCATAAGGTACAGTTAATGTTAACAATACAAACACAACTCATTCAGTAGCTGGTGTATTGGGGACAAATCCTTCTCCTTTACCAGACAATCCGCAGACTATAGTGACTTTTAATTTTCACTCGGATATGTTTATGCTCGTGTATCGTACAGATATAATATAATCCGGAAACTATTTTAAACCAACATTTTTTTAATGTTATTTTTTGTATTAATTTCACTGTTTGAAAAACTATAATTTTTAATATAAATTTTTAACGCCCTTGTTTATATCAATATCGTTGACCAATGACCATGTCAATGAATTTGAACACATTGGATTTTAAAACTTTACAATATTCGGGATGTATAAATGTATATACATATAATGTAATTAATCTTTCGTTTTTCGTTAATTTGATGCCGATATGTTATGACGTCATTAGATCACCTGAAAACGCGTTCGTAGATATGCAACCTCAAAAATTGACTAAGATCGTGGTTTTTTTAACCTTGCCATATATTTGTAAACATTATCATTTTTAATATAAATTCACCCGAAAAGTGAGGTTAGAACTAATTTTAAAGTATGATTTAAATTAAAATATGTATGTAAGTAAAAATGGCTAAAATTTGCGTTAATCTAAAACAAAACCGTGAATTAGAAATATTTTGTAACATTGTTAAATTTGTCCTTGTTTATATCAATGTCATTGACCATGTCAATGAATTTTAACACATCACTGAATTTTAAAACCTACCCAAAATATGTTTAACAATGTTTTACATGTATTGGAAACTACAAAATTCCAAATATACAAAAATAATTCATGTAATGAATCGTTTTGTCCTTAAATACCTGCATACCTGCTGTGACGTCATTGGTATATATAGCGATTGTTTCCTTAGATGTACAACCTAAAAATTTGACTAAAATTGTCTTGTTTAACGACCTTGTAAACATTTCCTTTTTTAATATAAATTCACAAGAAAAGTGAGGTTAAAAATACGTTACAAAATGTATAACACTATAGTTTTTCAATTAATTATGAAAAAAGTAGTTCATTAAATTTTACAAATTATATAGCAATTATTATTATATAACATTTTCATCAGTAAACGTATTTATACTTACATAGACACAGGCACTTAATATTGTGAAGCTGCAGAAAATTGTGGATTAAATATGTACACAAATTTGAGGATGTTAGGTTAAGGCAAAAAACTGCGAAAATTTGCGTTAATTTAAAACAAAACCGTGAATTAGAAATATTTAGTAACATTGTTAAATTTGTCCTTGTTTATATCAATGTCATTGACCATGTCAATGGATTTTAACACATCATTGAATTTTGAACCTACCCAAAATATAATTAACAATATACTACAAAATTGGTAAATATATAAAAATGTTTAATATAAATCATTGTTTTCATTCATTCAATACATGCAGGT